AACTGCGTCGCCATCAGACCCCGGTACGTGTAACACTTTATTTTGAACGGCGCAATACGTTTCCATTAAACGTTATTAAAGCGCAGGGAGTGACGAGCTCTCATTTGTCTTGTCAGGACATCTGACAACCTCGTTAGCTCCCATTTTCCCCTGTCAGCTCACAGCGCGACACGGACACTGACTTCAGCCACTCCTGGCAAGTGAGTGATAAATGCGCCTACTCAGCCCTGCGCAAAACAGCAACATTATTGTTGCCAGCACGAAACATCAGAATCAATCACAGTCAAGTCTGAGTGGCAGGTGTCAGTCTTAACACTTTGCTATTATTATTATTATTATTATTATTTTTAACTTCAGACCACTGTCAATCTTTAATCTAATTTAAAGGGTCACAGATTTGGGGGGCATAATATCGCCTCTTTGACTTCTCTCTCCAGCCTAACTGACCATGAGTAGCCCACATTTAACGCTCCACACAGGCCTCACTAGGAGATTGGAGGTTTCGCAAAATGAACTGTTATGAATATTTGTAAGCAAATGGATGATCTCGTTACTTCGCAAAAAAAGGGGCAGAAGAACACTTAATGGCATTGAATCTTTCCGCTCCCTGCACTTTCAGATGCGATTGTAGATCGAAGTCAGACTTGTCACGTTGAGGCAAAGTGAATTCCTAACATCCAGGACGTGCCTGTCTACTCCGGACAAATTGCATCCAATCACCCCGGGGGAATTCGGCTAATGTCTCGATCCAGGGCCGGGGAGCATGGAGAGAAAACAAATCAAACTCTGCACACAGAGCGTGTAGGGCTTATTAAAACATTTCACACAGGGGAAAGAAAGGACCGAAACGAGGAATATGTGTCTGTACACGTGTATGCGTGCGTCGGCTGAGGGGGTGGGCTAATTATGATACATTATCTTTGGACATTGTAGTTTTAAATTGTAATATCAGATGTGCAACCTAAACATTTTCACACTACATGCCAGCTGTTTGAGTGGCGGAGAGCGCATGAACTGGGCCTGGCAGTTTAATCACTTCAGCAGGTTGGAGTGGTTGACTAACTTTGGTCTTATTTAAACTCATGTGGGCCTAGCAAGATATTCTTGACGCTAAATAAAAACAATATGCTCTAAAAAAAAATCCTAAGGCTAAATGCACACAAAAGATTCTGACAAATTCTCGTTTGAAGCAAGTTTAAACGCGAGGTTCAAATAGAACTTACCTCCTTATCTCCATTGCAATTAATCCTAATTTAGATGGATGAAATGCCCCCTTTGAACGCAGCATCAGCTCTGCGTGCACCCTCTGCTTTCTGGTAACGTGCTCGGTCCCCTGGACATTTTTCTCTGTCTGCTACAGCGACAGTAAACAATAAGCTCATGAGGCGTAGGCTATGGCAACATAATGTTCTGCATGGCTACAGAAGGGAGGTCGATCATTACACAATTTGTTTTAAATTTGATCAGTCACAGAGAGATTGGCATCTCCCTGGAAAGCCCGGGCAGGGTTGAGCTACTGTAGCTTAAATCCAGGTTTCACTCGTGTTATCCTTACAGACCCCTACACGTCAGCATCTTCACTGTAGGCCGAAATAATGTCAGGTATTTAACTTTGGCTAGCGTGTCCGTGGTTGTTAAATATGCAGTATAGGCGTAAAGACTGGGATCGCATGCAAATGTGGGTCGATATTTGCTATCATAAATATTTGATTTGCAAAATTGTTTCCCTTCTGACATAAAAATTCAGAAACTGACAGTATGATTTTAATGTGTGTGTGTGTGTGTGTGTGTGTGCGTGTGTGTGTGCGTGTGTGTGTATTTGCGCGTGTGGGGGACACAGAGAGAAAGAGGGGGGAGAGGGAGAGAGAGAAAGGTTGGTTTGTGTAGCAGCGTGGTGACGGCAGAGGGAAAACCGGCTGGACAGATTTGCGTTTACGCCTGATCTGCTTCTGGAGAGCGGGGCTGTGTGGGAAGGGAAAGGGAGCACCTGGCTCGACCGCTGTATCCCATCTCGTTTTATTGACAGCCTGATAAGCAGGGACCAAGCCGTGCGGTTTCCAGCGCGGATGTCGAGCACCCTGCTGCGTTGCACAGTATCAAGGCCTCTTAATGGCTGTTCCTCTAAATAATGGCCCAAACACAGCCAGTCCTGACTGGCCCGTACCTGCGCTGCCCCGGTCTCTTCCTGAGAGACAAGCGGTGGCGCGGTTGCCCATTTACTCAGTCTTGTTCAAATTGACACAAACATCAGAGGTTGTGAAATAGGATTTGAGGCTTTTAGCCCGTCTTAGTAAAAGGGAAACTAAAGCCCCCATTATGAGTCACAGTGACAACTTTATAGGGCTGTAGAAATAAAAAGGTTTTAGCGCAGACTAAAACACTGGGATTGTCTACAAATATAAGTAATGTAATGACCTAGCTCTGCAAACGTGTTCAGCCTTACAGCCGGAGTACGTCATAGGGAGCAGCCAGGGGGCATCTATAGACCCCGAGCGGGACTTTCCTGCATCCGTTCCCCCCACACCTGTTGCGCTCTGAGCATGCTCAGATTTAAGAACACAACAGTGTACTTGCTAATCTATTAATATTCATATGACCTATCTATGACCTAACACCAGCAACTGTTACAAGCAGTAACTGTTAATGGGGAATTTCAAAACTCGTTGTTAGGAAGATGCATTTTTGTTACTTATAGCTTGTACATTCGAAAGCTGTAACAAATATGTAAATAGCGCCAAGACTTCACAGTTTCAGTGTAAGATCGGATGCTCGCTCAATCTCAGCCAATCCTCTTTATTCTTAAAATCAACGGGAACACATCCGAGTCATAAAAAATTATTATTATTATTATTATTATTATTATTATTATTATTATTATTAATAATAATAATAATAATAATAACAACAATAATAATAATAATAATAATAATAATAAACAGTGCTTCGATCGGGTGATTTTGAGCGCTCAAACAGCTCAAACCTTTTTAACAATACGGCACGCTTCTTGCTGAAGTGCTCTCGAGCAAGTTTTAGGCTACAAGTTCCATGAATAAATAAAACACGAACAGAAATATAGAAATCAAACTTTGGATTGAAGTAAAAGTGGATAACATTCACTAAGGTAATGATGTAAATAAAAATAAAATAAAATCAATTATCAATCGGGGAGCGAGCCCGCAGAGTGAATTGTTAGCTGTCCGCCCCTGCACACAGCCGACACACCGGGAAAGTAAACAGGCCGGTGTGCTCCACATGTTGGTTACCTTGCGCACTTCCCCATTCTGCGCTCAGCGTCCTGTCCAAGGCGTGACGTCGAGTCGTCGCTCCAGCCAATCACTGCCAACTTGAGGCTGATGCTGAAGGGAAAGTTGCTGGTAAGAGTCGCAGATTTTTTCCCCCCCTCTCACTGACATTTCAACTTCACGACGGATTCAAAGGTAGATAGATTTTCATCGGGACCTATAAGTTTCTGTTTCTGTGACACGGAGGAGAGATCCGGGGAGGGAAGAAGCGAGTTTATATGCACAGGATGTCGGTCAGACGCCTCTGCTGCCTTTCTTCCGGTGAGTTTGGCTGGACTATAGCCTACTTTTAAATAGTCTCCTTTTAAAATTTAAATCCACTGTAACTTACACGATAAACCTCTAAGAATATTTAAAGGGTATCATTTCTGTATTTTTGTATTTTATTTCATTTTTTTAAATCCTGAAAAAAACGCAGTTAAAAGCATGCAGACTGGTTTCAAGCCGGGCGCACTGGGAAAGTTGGGGAAATTATTGGTTAAGTGTTTGCACGTTGCTTTGTGTATTACAGAGTAGGAAAACACCAAAACAAAGTGGAAAACAATGAGCCCAGTTCGTTTTTGTTTTTTATTTGTTTTTTGTCATCTATCGCACACACGCACACAACGTGTAATTAGCGATCTTCACACAGGAATTAAGCGCTCGTCATTTCTTTAAAAAAACGGCTATTATTGTGCGAGTTACGGAGGGGAATTCAGCCTATACAACAGGAATGTGTACAGTGAGATCCATTCATCTATGCACGACGTATAAGCGCAATGGAAACGTCGATGTCCATCACCGGAAGATTTCATTCTGTGGGCTTTTTCATCAACATGACACGTCTGTGACATTTTGGAGAAACAGCGCGATATTTTGGTTGAAATGCTGTGAGTTAACGTTTAAAGTCAGAGGTACTGTTAAAGAACTAAAACACTTAAAAAAAAGTTGTGAAAGCAACTTGCAAGCACGTGCTTCAAATCTTCAAAAACAACGGAGTGAAGTGACACGCGCGCCTTGGTGGTTTTCAGATTGATTTTGTTCGGAGGGCCCGGACCTGCTGTTTATGTTTCCAGTGTTATTACCATTTAATTTCTTCACACACCCCCTCGTCTAATTACGAGCTTTCAATTGCATTATTATTTACACCCCTCACACATGTACTCATTTCCACACAGTATCTGGAAGTCTTTGGAAGCCTCGGGTCAAGGTTCTTGTATGTTTGGCTGCAGCGTGTCTTCCTGTCACACTGGCCGATCAGCGCTGTGACACCATTAGCCCCGGTGTTTATCACAGCCCTCAGCCTTTTGCTGAGGGCTTTAGCCTTTTGTGGACTGTACACATTCTGTGAACTACACAAGAACACACCGTAGTCTTCACTGTGTCCCCACAAACTTTACAAATTGTTGGGTGCGGTTAAACTACACAGGATAAACTAAATAAAAATAACATTTACCTTAAACGATGTACAAAGCACTCCACACTGTCGAGGTGAATGTGACTAGAAAATGAAGCCATTAGATGAGCCACGAGGACGTTAACTGTAACAACATGCTTAAAAAAGAATAAAGAGCAGGGTTTGAGCGTGTTTGGCATCCCGACAGAGCAAGACGGGGGCCACCTTAGGAAGCTACATGCGGCTGCCCACTCCGTGATGGAGTTGCGTTTCTTTATGTTTACTCAGTCTGATGAAAAATGAGTTGCCACTAATGGAGCTTCTGTTGCGGGTCGCTCTCCACGTGCGCCACCACGCTTTCAAAACAGCAGATGGATAAATATCGGCGCAGAAGTCGAACAAACAAGTGACTCTTTGATTATGGCTCATGAAAACAGAATAATACAATCGTAAACGCGCGGATGATTTATGCAAATAAACCGGCGACGTGCTCATGAGGAGAAATGTGACCGGTCGGCTCTGTCTGATGAATGACAGCTCAGAGCTTTGCAAGAATGCAGCTACACGTAAAAGTCGAAATTTTATACATCGGTGACAACAACAACAACAACAACAACAACAACAACAACAACAACAACAACAACAACAATAATAATAATAATAATAATAATAATAATAATAATAATAATAATAATTCTTATTATTCTTATTGTTGTTGTTATTTGCTACCTGAATTTTTTTCACATGTCCATCAACATTTTCAATACTGCTTAAAAACACAAATGATAATCATTTATTTGAGAATTTCTATAATAATAAGATTATTTTAAAAAGAATAGTAGAACATTTATAATAAAAGGTAAATTAAAGTACATTTGTTATATTCATAAATATTTCATTTATATTTATTTATAATAAATAACAAATTTATTGCATATAGATAACTCATATTTATATAATTATTTGCTCACCAGTGAAAGTAGGTGTAATACAGTTCTGAGGCTTGTATGTGTACACCACTTAATATGTATGTAATTGTCTAAAAAAAAAAATTCCCCTCCTATATTAGATACAATTTAAATACAGAAAATGAAGATGCACATCACACCAGGCTTTTTATTGTCTGCGTGAATCACCGTGTTTTCCAAGCGATTATTAACTCGAATCAATGCTGCAACAAAATTTCTAATAGAAAGCTCAAAGGTCCTGATTTTTTTATATATAATTTTTTTTCCTAAGGTGAGTAAACTGTGACCTCCAGTGGAGGTCATCACAACTGTAAACAGTTGTCAATTTTAAATAAATAATAAATCAAAGCAGGTTTTTAGGTGTGGGGTCGTGTCCAAATATAGTGTCAAGTTGTGAAGTAAAAATCTTTCCTTCACCAAAACAGGGTTTTGTTTTTTCAGCTTGCTCTCTCTTTTTCTTTTCTTTCTTTTATTGTATTTAAAAGTTTCTGCAGGGGTACAAATACCACACTGCCTCAGGGGAAAATAGCGACGAGATTAGGCTTTCCTTTCAAGGCCTATGACATTAGTTGCTGCTAATCCGAATTGGGCTAATTGCTTTCCCAACATCACTCTTAAAGACTTTTACAGCAATGCAATCTACCTTATAAAAAGACAAATGTATAAATAAGAAATGTATATATTCATAGAGAGGTGCCGTTGACCTACTTGGCATATCACTTAGGTTTCTGAATAAATAAATAAAAAAATAATAAATAGATGAAAAACCAAAAAGAAATCTCTTGAGAATGGAGACAACGAATTAGCTCTTGGAGCGGATTTACAGCTTAACCAAAGAAATCAATAACATGCTGGAGGTATTGTTTCCAAAGAAAACTACTTGACACACTCATCGGGGAATCCGTCTTTCTATGAAGGCAGGTTAGTGGTGTGAATTTTTGACAGCTGCAATCTGTGAAAAGTGAGTAGCAATAACATTTGCACTACAAAGGTGCCTCACAAATACACTTATTCAAGCGTCTCACCAGAAAGAATTTAACATTTAGGCAAGATGTTGAATGTGATTTCTCTCTCAGTACTGTTACACTGATTATGAGAAGATGACATTCTACTTTTGACAACTTCCCTGTCTTATTACTAGAAACCAGCAGCTGCTAAAAGTGGCACACGTCACGTGCACGCGCGGCTGACCGAGGCGTCCACGAGGACGCAAACGTTAGCGCAGAAAGTTTCATCTTGCGCGTCTTCTTGCGTCAAAGAGTCAACAACCCACCATAGATTTTTTTGTATTACAGGTCGACTTTTAGTTTAATTCCTTTCGAATATCTTTTCTCAAATTAGCCACAACATAATCCATAAACTTGTGAACTTGAGTTGCATTGATGTTTCATAATAACTGCTAATTGAAAGTTCCAACTTCGCCGTCTCCTTGATGTATTTTTTTTTTTTTTTTTTACAGTAAATTATAACCAACACGAGGTCTCTCACTGCACAAACCCCTGTCAGGAGGGGCGACAGGGTTGGGTTGTGTGTGAGGGGGTGTTTGTGGTCTGATGCATTCTAATGGAGGGGTTCTTGACGTAAAAATGTTTAGGACACCCCCTCCTCTCTTAACTGATATAAGCTGCGGCCATTCACGGTAGGCCTATAGGCTGAGCCACCAGTCTAAGTGAGTAGAAACAATGCAGGAAGGAGAAACAGATGAATGTGCTCGTTTAGTTTACGGGTTGTTTGATGAAGGAGTATTGGCCAAAGTGTTGTTCCTCACCGCGGGACCCTCAGTGACAGTTTGAGCCGGTCCTCTCAGCTCATTATCTCGCCGGCCCACTGAGGGCCCCATTCAAGCCGGGCAGTCCCTCTCCCCCTCCCCCCTGTCCCTTCTCTCTCTCTCTTCTCTCTCTCTCGCTCTCTCTCACCCTCTCTCTGGCAGCGTCGTTTGTCTACTCATTGAACCCGTAGTCAGGAATGCGATGGTTGTTAGGGAGCCCTCTTTCACCTCCGAAGTGTTTTATTGATGAGCTCGGACTTCTCCTACTTTTTCACATGTCAAAGAAAGTCAAGTGTAGGCCTCCACGACTTCATTTCACGGCCTCCCATCCCAATAAGAAGAAGAAGAAAAGGAAAAAGAAAACGCATTTCTCTCCCCCTCCCCCTGCTCATGTCTGTCCCTCTCCCGTCTCTCTCGCTCACTCTCTCCCTCTTTGCCCTTTCACGCACCCCCTTTTCTGCTTCTCCACTTTGGCTTCAGCATCCACACAAACCTCATTCTCTTCCCCTCGGTTTTCCTTTTTGGAATAAGCAACGGGGCTCCTCGATGCCGAGACTGGTGCTGGCCAAAGCTGGAAGTGTACGCTCAAACACGGGCGCAGAGGGGGTTGATTTTGGGTGCGCTGAGGTGTGCGCTAATAGTCGGTCATTCAGCCGGCTCGGTTTGGGAGCGTGTGGCCATGGCTACGCACTCATTTGCTTTTACTTTATTTACGCGTGCTATTTGCTGTCAGGTCGCAGGAGTGACGTCGCCGTGCCTCGCAAATGTGTCCATAAAAAGCACCCGAGCCTGCCTAAAGGCCGGACTCTTTATGTACGGTGCTCTTGTTGACACGATGGGGGTGGTGGGGTGGGGTGGGCAGGGTGATACTAAAAAGAATCAACAAAAGCACGTGGTGGACATTTTTGGTTGCTTTGAGTGTGAGTGAAGGCCGGACAAGTGCAAAATGATTTTCAAAGTAAAACAACTTTCTTTTTCTTTTTTTGGTGGGGGTGATTAGACGATTTACTTTGGAGCTCAATCGCTGTGATATAAGAGTTTAAAACTGGTGGTTTTTCAAAGTAAAAGTTTTTAAACCTTCAAAGATGACTCCCAATTGCGGCACTTGCGCAGGTGCAACATCGCGCTACATTCGGTCCAGAAGGGAAAAGGGCGCTGAAAGTTTTACGCAGCGCGGATGTGCGTCTCTATAACGTTAATCGCATCTGTAGTGCATCGGCTGCTTCATAAAAGGCACGCTGCAGCTCTTTGTAATTTTAATTTGGTGTTACGAGCTCCAGCATTCCAAGTGTGCGCTGCTCCACTGCTAGTTTCCGTCCCCCCCACTACAACAGACACACACACCACCACCCACCGCCCACCCCCCTTGCGGCTCCAGCTAGCCTCAGGTTGGCGCTGAGCATGCCTGAGATTCCCTGTGCGGACCCAATTCAGCCTGGAAGAATAGAGCCTTCCGTCCAATGGGCATTTCCGAGGCACTTCCTTTGCAATAGGGCAATATTCAGCAAGTGAGCGCAGAGTATTTGCATGCGTGGGCTGATTAGTGGGTTGGGAAGACGCGACTCTCTCTTTCTCTCCCTCTCTCTTCCCCGCTTTCTCGCTCTCTCTCTCTCTCTCTCTCTCTCTCTTTCGCTTTGGCTCGGCCCCGTTTCCCGCTTTGGCTGTGGTGCAGGGGGAAGTGTTTATATGGGGGATGATGACAGAGGTCGGGTCGCGCTAATGGGCCAGTGAAGAGCGGCGGAGGGAGGCGAGGCGAGGCGCACACAGCAGACCAGGAACACATACATTAATACACTTGTTCCATCACCAATCAGCATAGGTGTGTTCATTCTCTTACCCCCACCTCCTCCTACCACCACTCACTCACTCTCCCTCCCTCTTCCCCTCCTTTCTCTCTCTCTCTCTCTCTCTCTCTTCCCCATCTCTCTCTTCCCGACTCTCTCATTCGCTCTCTCACACGCCAGCGCGCATCCTCGCCAAACTCCGTGCGTCCTGACATCTGAGTTCACTGTCAATCTCTGTCTCCTTCGCAGGGATATCCCCTTCGTCTCCGCCGAAGACCACTGGAAACTAAATTTTTTTTCTCTTCGAAACTTCCCGGGAGAGAGCGATCCTGGTCGCCGTTTTTTCTCCCCCTTCTCTCTTTCTTTGGTGTGGACAACTAGGCTGCAGCCCATAGTTTACCCAGGACTTTGATAACGACGCAGGATGCCCCAAAAAGGTGAGATCCTGACTAAAAGTTTGTCTTGTTGCTGTTAAATTATGCATTATTATTTGTGATAGCCTAAATTATTATTATTATTATTATTATTATTATTATATCGGGTTTATTCGCGGCTGTAAGTGGAGGGTCAGTGTGAGGTAGAGGGTGTTTTATCGTTTGGACTGTGCAGCCTGGACTCCCTCAAAAGTGCGAACAGCCTTTTAGCGTCTCTGTCGGTTTTATCTGCTCGATTTTTGGTTGTTGGGTTTAAGCCCACGGATAGCTTGCTGCTTATTTATGACAGCAAAGAGTAAAAAGTCACGTTGGGCCAGGACAGTGATCATCGTGGAGAATGGGGCGCAATGACCCGTTGAGGAAAGGTGTCAGATTGATTCATGCAGGCGAGTCACCCAAGCGCCTTCTTAAAAAAAGAAAAAAAAAAAAAAGCCTTCATGAAGCACTTGCTGAGGAGGCCCGTGTTCAGCGTGTTTGTTTGTGTGCCGGGGATAACACAACTTTACTCCTTGTCTCTTATCTTCTTCGGTGTGTCTTCAATGACAGCGACTGAACTGCTTTCACATTTTAGCAGTCAAGCTGTGGAGTATTTTAAAATACTCAGATAAAGAGGCCTTGGCTGGCCTCAAATTTAAAAGTAAATGTTTCAAAAAAAATTAAAATTAATAAAAGACAAACTGAAAAACAAGCACAAATTGTTGATGCTTTAAAACTACTTTTTTAATCCACGTAAATAAGCAAAACCTATATTTTAGTGCAAAGCCTCTATTGTAATTTTAGATATAAATTTTAAAGAAAAAAAAACGCATAAAATAATTAAAATAAAACTGCAATGAAAGAATAAATCACTCTGTAGCTTCCTATGTTAACATACTCCTTTACTCTTAAATCAGATTAAGCTCTAATGCAATAAATGCTTTCTGTGACATGTGACTTTTTTTTTTATTTTTTAATTCGCCTTCATGTGCATATTATCTCTGTTAGCCAACAGCAGGGCCACTGTAGTTCAGGCCTACATGTTCTCCTTCCTTGTATGAATGTTGTGAGCGCAGGATCCAGCGGTCAGAATAAGCATGTTGAATTAACACATTGTTGTTGCGGATTACTAAAGGGAAAGAAATGCAGATTAGATCGCAGTTAACCTCAGGAACAACAACGTTTGAGCTTTCGACCTTAAATAAATGATTAACCACTTGGACCTTACAGGGCTATAAGCTACTGGCAGCAGTGTATTTGCAGGCTGAAGCCGGTCTCTTATTATTTTTATTGTTATTATTATTATTTCACGCACACATACAGAGTTATTCACACCTGCTAAAGCCGCCGTGACATTAAGTCGCGGCTAATAAAAATATGTAGTATTATTTACAAGTTTCCTGTGTCTTTAAGATTAGTGGGTAACTCAGCCTATGCGGGCCAGTGTGAAGGAATCTGAATTTGATTAATGACCGAGCAGGCTATTTGTTACGACATGAAAGAAAGCTACACAATCTGAACGTAACGGCGTCCCTACGTGCATCTCACCGACTAGCCCGAGACTAAACACAATCTGTTAGACGTCGACATTACAGGCCATTTTACTCTGCACACAACACAACTTTGCACGGAGAGAGAAAATGAAAACTTTAGACTTCTCCCTCCGTGGCCCCCTTTTTATCTGTTCCCCCATTCAAAAGCTTCTTTAATGCATTTGTCTTTTCCAATTGAGCGCCCTACTGCGCTGTTGTGTCTTTAAAACCGCTTTACAACCCGCACCAGCAGCACAAAATAACCACCAAATATTTATAACAAGAAATTACTTTTCCCAAAAAAAAAAAAAAAAAAATCTTGTTCTATAAAAGCAGGGCAAACAAAACCCCACATTCACGCAATAGCGGCGCAGGGGTCACGGTCGTGTGTGTGTGTGTCTGCGTGTGTGAAAAAGAGAGAGTGCATGTGTTTGTGTGTATGTGTGAATGGTCCCGGAGGGGGTGGATGCATGCCTCCGGCTCTTTGTATTAATCTGAACTTGTTGGTGTGTTTAGAGGGGAAGCTGCGTGTTTCTAGTCGTGGAGGCCGAGTTTTCGCCCCGGGTTTGAGGTATACGGAGGCAGAAAAGGGGGTGCATTGTTGGGAGTCCAGCAGGCTTTGTACACCAGCTTTGTACCCCCTCCTGGTGTGGACTTTTGCGGATCAGTGAGGCGAGGTAGACAGCGTGTGTCACTGTACAGTTTCCACGACAGACTCCGCAAGAGGAAGGCTATCAAGTTTTAAAAACTACACTAAAGCCTCTTGCTGGGACGATGAGGAGCTGATTTCTTTATAAGAACTAACAAGAAAAAAAAAGGGGGGGGGGGAACACCAGGACTATTTTTTTTAAAGAGACAATGCTGTAAAGGAGTTACAGGCCCAATATCACATCACGGCTAGGCTGTTAGCTGAGATTTATTGTGACAGGTGCTTTCGAAAACAGGCCTAACAGAGACGTGAAAATAACGAAGATGAATGTTGTCCCGCGTCGATTTTAATTGATTTGTTTGGCACCAAAATTGAGGTTATCTGTAAAAGTAGGGCAAAAAAATAAATAAATCTGAAAATACAGTAAGTACATCAGTGTAGCTGTGGCTGTGCTAATGTGTTGTTTTGCTTTGTCCTATAGGGAGACATTAAGTAGTGAAAACGGCAGATGATTGACTAAATTGTTATAGCGTGGACAGTCAACTCTGTTTCCAGGCAAGTTTAATTAAAATACATACATACACTCAGGATGTTTTTATTTAAAAAACAAAACAAAATCATAATTATGGATCACTAAATGTTTAAGAACCAGATCCGCAATTTAAAAAAATAATAAAATTTAAATCGGACGACATGAGAAACTTTTTTTTTTTGTTGTTCAAAGAAATGTTGCAAATTTTTTGACACCTTAAAAACAATGATAATAATAGTAAAACAGATCTGTACACCAGTTTTCTGATTTGCTGCTAACCACTTTTGTTATTTCCTTGTGACGCTTAGAATACCACAACCAAGCCACGTGGGAGTCTGGCGTAGCTTCAATGATGCAGAACAGTAAGTTGTTTTCTATATATTTTATTTTGAAACTTTTGATTACAGCCGCAATGTGGTTGCATGGAAGCAACACCCACTGACATTTTACTATTTATAATTTTATCTTTTATATTTATTTATTGCACTGCTTGTTAACATACATTTCAGAAACACTATTTTTTTTTATTTGATTTTTTTTTTTTTTAAAGAGGGCAGATGCATGTGCAGCCATACATTTTCAGGACTTTTTAAGTGCAGGGATGATAATATTTTTAAGTTATTTGATGGCGCTTTCATTGCTGTTAATTTATTATTATCTCCCTCCCAAATGATAGGTAGGCAAGTTATTATTGAACAAGTTAATCACACGTCGTCCTTCCTTCTCCAGGGAGAGAGAGAAAGAGAGGGAGAGAGAGAAAGAGAGAGAGAGAGAAGGGGGATTAGAGGGGGGTGCTGGGTTGAGAGGGAGATTTTTGTTTCTGCTTGAGTTGGTATTAAATAATTGCACAGCCGTCTGCATTAGCGTTAGAGCTGGCTGCCAGGCTGCATACAAGATTAGCTGCGTAGAGAAGAGCCCTGCATGAAACATGAGGGAATAGCAATAATGTCTTATGTAGATTAGTCCATATTCTTCACGGACAGACAGCATGAACTAGAAAGAAAATGCTCATATTATAACCGCAGGCCTCACTGTTAGGTGCAGGCTGAACTCAGAGAGGAAGATAAATATTAACAACCATATTGTCGTGGGTGCCAATCAAAAAAAACAACAAAAAAAAACAACCCAAAACATGGTAGATGAAGTTGCTTATAGGCCTCATGTGTTTAAAGTGGCCTCTTGCAGATGAATAATTTGTCTTGTTCCTGGTGTGTGTTGAAACCAAAAAGGATAAACATGAAACATTTTCTCTCTTGCTGCTGGACAAGAGGTGTATGACATCTGTGATGAAGGTGTGTGGAATAATTTTATTATATTATTCTCCATATACCTTGATGACGTGTCTGTGCTGTAACCTGTGCGCATTAGTCCGAGTATGTTTGAATCCAATGTTGGACCACGTGAGAGGTGGACTGTTTTATGTGTAGAGAGCTGTGATTCATAAGAAAGCGCTGCGGGGGAAAAAAACTAAAAACACGAGTGGCTTACTTTTGTTTTTCTCCCACTGGTCGTGGTACTAGATTTTTTTTCTTATGTTAAATGGCACAGCAATGTGATTTCTTTCTTTTAATCTGATCAGTTGTCAGTTATAGAGATGACAGAGCCTTAACAAACCTGTGTACAATACCCACTGGATTGATGTTAATAGGATGCTCCCCTGGCTTGGCGTGTGATGTCTGGTGCGAATTGCCGAGGAGATATCATTGGGCCCGGCCCTTTGGGTTGTCTAAAGGTCGCGACGGCCTCGCTGGCTTTTGTGCTAATAACTCCTGGGTGTATATAGTGGGGAGCGTCCAAATTGACACCATATGTTTTCCTATTAGTCGACTTGCAATAGAATACAAGGCGCATAATCAGCGCCAGCGGGCGAGATCGACTCCGGGCACTTGAGGGAATTGTGCCATGATTAAGACTTAACCTTAGGAGAGTTTGATTTTTATGTGATGTCGTTATCTGACGGGTTTTATCGATCCGGAGGATTTATATGATGGTTATAAACCAGAGGTGACGGAGCAACCCTGGAGAACCCGCAGAGCAGGGCTGCTTAATGTGGGTAGGCCAATTTCAGCGTAAGAAGTCTATTAATTCCACTTAATCCTGGAATTACCAAAGAGCAGGAGGGGATGATAATGGATTTACTATCAATCAGATCCACGCAGGAAGATTATAACACATAGCGGCCAAAAGGGATATGTTGCTCAGTTAAACAGGTTTATTCTCACTCAAGTAGCTATAAACAGGCCCGATCCCCCTATTTTTTATTTTATTCCTTTCTTTTGTGTCATCTATATAAAATAAAGTCCGCATTTAAAGCCAACTCCTATGGCACATTTCAGCACGAAGACGCCAACCGATTCCACACAACAGGACTGCGGTGGCTGTGAGCATTTGTTGTCAAATACAAACAAGGGGGGGGAAAAACTGCATGTCACTTTTAATATGTTAAGAATCCAGGCGCGCCCTCGTTTGTGTGACCGCGCGTAGCCCCTGGCCACCTTAAAACGAAGTCTCCCTCGGAGGGTAAACGAGTAGCGTCCAATTTTGTCTGAGTGATATCCAAATGCAGACAGAAAGGGTCGTTTTATCATGCTACTATTTGTCGTGACGATGCGATTTTCAAAAGCAGAGCGGTGTCATAAAGTGACATGCCTGCCACAAGTGCTCCAACTGATCTTTTCAATTAGCCTCCCATGCATGATCCGAGGCGACTTCCGCCTATTTCCAGAAATTAAGCTCAAACTTGACGTGCAGCTAGCTTTATTTTAAAGACAAATGTCAGGCAGGCTCATCATATTTTCCCCCTCTTCTATATTTGGAGCTTATTTATTGCTAAGGAGCCTCTGCTCCCGGAGTCAATGTACCGGGCGGCAGCGCAGGGGAAGGGAGCGGAGAAACAGAGAGCAGCTCAGGCACTCCGGGGAGTCAGCTCTCCCTTTTGGCTTCAGGTTTGCGGGCTTTTTCTGTGCTTTAGAGCGATTCCATACAATAATTTAAGGATAATTTCTAAATATCACTAATTTTTTTAGACAATGAGCAAAAATAAAACCTCATATTTTAAAGCTAAAACCTTATTGTTTCCTTGTCTTTTTGATGCGTAATTATGGCATGTTATTTTAAAGGATTGTCATGGGAAGGATTTTAGCGATTTAATATCGTTTTTCCTACAAGATGCTTTTGAATTGATGCTAATTTAACACATTATTATAGTGGAGTGTTTATGGGATCGTCGGTGTGGCTGGTTATTGTTTTAAAGCACTGTTTGTGAGAGAGGTGCAGGTCTTGGTGATGGGAGTGGATAACGGTGCGGGTGTTTTAACGCCCAAGTTTGCCGGTTTGCTACAGGATTGGATGAGTTTTCTCTGGCCAGATCATCGACTGAGCTGTAAAATTACTATGAGGGAAAAAAAAAATCTATATTTTTTTATTCGGTGTATGTCGTGCTGCTGTGGTTTGATCCATGTTTTTGCATGTGTTACTAAATAGCTGATGATGCGCCGAACCTCACAACAGCTTTAAAAAAAAGATTTCTGGAGTGCACTCCGGTTTAAGATATTTTTTATAAAATCGTGTGAGAGTTTATTGTGAAACTTCTCTATTGCTGTGTGCTCTGCATCATATCACATTGCATTTATAACTCGATTATTCTGAACGCTTAAATCATTCTGCTCACCATTACTTGGAAGCCGTTAGCTTTATCATATATTTCAAGAGGAGCTGCGACATGATTTGATGACTCCGGTGCTTTTGTCTCCATGTAGGTCACAGTGGCGTAAACCAGCTTGGTGGTGTGTTTGTTAATGGCAGACCGCTGCCGGATTCCACCAGGCAGAAAATAGTTGAACTTGCTCACAGTGGTGCTCGACCTTGCGACATCTCCAGGATACTCCAGGTGACAATCCCACTCCTTTTTTTATGAACAGAAAACGCCTTCATAAAGACTTTGGTCTCAGTGAATACAAGGAAATTAATAATAATATCCAAAAGCATAAATATTAAAAACAAACCGATTTAAATTTTCAATTAAAGCCAGGTTTCCAGTAGCAGTTCACGACCGCTTTAAGCCAGTAAAACCACTTATTACTTTTCAATTAAAGGAATGTTTTAAGGACAACAAACGGAAAAGTAATCTGCCTGCTGTTGTAAAGAATAAATGCCTAATATATCATTCAAGGCATATTTTCTGTATTTATAGACCCATGATGAAGTCCAAGTGCTGGACAGTGAAAAGGTGATAATTATTTGAGCCATCTTAGCAATTCCGTTCATAGTCGTAAATAATGTATGTGAATTGTGTCTTTTGTTTCCCGTCCAGGTATCCAACGGCTGTGTGAGCAAGATCCTTGGTAGATATTATGAAACAGGCTCCATAAGACCGAGAGCAATAGGCGGCAGCAAGCCCAGGGTCGCCACTCCAGAGGTGGTCGCGAAAATCGCGCAGTACAAGCGGGAGTGTCCGTCTATCTTTGCGTGGGAGATCCGTGACAGACTTCTGTCGGAGGGGATCTGCACCAACGACAATATACCCAGTGTAAGTGTATTGACTGTAAGTTGTGTGCATGATTTAATTTGCCACATGAAATGACTTTTTTCTCATGCACTGGAGGAAAAGGAGAAGGGCATCCAACCATTCAGTCTTATTAAGTGCACTGCGATTCAAAGCGTGGGGCACACATTACTGCGTATGTGATCAGCCAAACATACGCTCGGTTTTGATGGGGCTCGTTGTTCATTTGTGCGCTTTGCCAGAAACATCTTTCTGTACATATTTATTATGATTATAATGCTCGCGTTATGGTGTAAGAACACGTGTTTTGCCGTGCCGATGCTGCGCTCCATCCAATCCTAATCCAGACTTTTATCATATGTAATTTGTCATTCAGGTGTCATCAATAAACAGAGTCCTCCGCAACCTGGCTAGTGAAAAGCAACAGATGGGCGCAGATGGCATGTATGACAAGCTGAGAATGCTCAACGGTCAGACAGGAACTTGGGGGACCCGGCCCGGCTGGTACCCCGGAACATCAGTGCCAGGGCAGCCCAACCAAGGTGAGCCTCATTGTCATACAGTAGCAATAAAGACACCTTGACGCACGCACAGTTGTGAGGTTCTCTACCAAAAAAGAAGTATACAAGTGTGCTGACACGCAGTAACATTTATGGTCACCCACAAAAGCATCTGATTTGAATTCAATACATTAGGTTTAAAGTGAACTTTGTGAGGTCACCACAAGTTGCCATGTATGAATATGAATAGGTTTACGGCCTACTCTTCCGGTGATTCCGGCCCGTGGCTGTTTGCAGGAAGGTATTGTATGGTCATGCTTTTGATGCTCTGAACAAGACTGAAAATGCAAAACTAGTCGATCAGAGGAAGCCATAGGCCATGCATGCATTCTGAATGTCTCCACTGTCCCAGACATGGATGTGCGTGACAGAAGCTTGTCCTTTCAGCAGAGGTGTCCATCCAACAGCCTGCATTTTCCTCCCCGATGGGGAGGCAGGGAGCCGGGGGAGAGCTGTGTGCGGCGATGTTAGCACAAAGGAATGCTTTTCCTTCACACGCAATGATTAGTTATGGGAACAGTCCTCACTACGTGTAATTGCTCATTAGAGAGGGCTTTGTCTCTCATTATGGCAACATGCAGGAGTGTGGAGATGGTGAGGCTGCTGTGGAAATGTTCCACTTCAGAGGGTTTCCTGACGGCCCACTGCAGGCCAAACACCGAGCAGCTTTTCTTATAAGAAACTACAACTTTGCAGGCAGGAGTTTGCGATCACGGTTTACTTGCACATTTAAAGCGGAAATGCAAGGGTTGGAATTAAGTCCGACAAGATTTAATAAATTAACTAAAAAAAAACAAAAATAAATTAGCATTTGTGTGACGGCAACTGGTCACGTGGGGCTGTCAACGAGCAGTAAAGCGGAGAAGATCATATTCACGGCTAAAATAATTCATTCAATGATGAAGCTATAACGGCTAATTTAAATAATAATAATAATAATAATAATAATAATAATAATAATTATTATTATTATTATTATTATTATTATTATTATTATTATATGTAATTATTTAATGTTAGGTATTTAATTATAATAATTATCATCATTTTCATCTGTTGTATATATCGTTTTGCAGCCTAGATTTAAAAAAAAATCTCCAGAAATAAAACATATAATAACAATAATAACAATGATATAAAAATCTAAAAATAACAAAGTTGTGTTTGATTAAGTATTTGGGTAAAACAGTTGTTTCAGGGGAACGAAAATATGTTTTCAATCAGACAGCCGAGTAAGCACATATAATGGCTACATGGAGAGTGACAGGGCCCCAAAAGAAGACAACTCTATCCAAAGAGAAACGAATAAAACTCCACACCGATGCTGTCTTTCATCTCTTTCTCATGCTCAGTCGCTGGCTATATGGCTCTAAATCCCGTCTATAGGATTTAGTCTCTCACTTTCTCTTTCAGTTTTAAGCGGTTTCTCAAGAGTGTTTTGATCCAGTCTCAGCAGCTGAAAGGTGCCGCAATTGGTTCGGTATCTCTTTTTTTGCTGCTTTTCCGCCTCACTGGCTGAGACATCGTGATACTAAAGAATGAGTTTATTTCCCAGCGCTTTTATAAAGAAAACAAATCCCATCCTAGCGTCAGTGGGTCTGGCGCACGGATAATAGCTGCACATTCACTCCTTTTTATAGATTATCCGGAGTGAAGAAACAAATAGCGTGGATACAAACTATTGGCCTATAGAAGAATACTTTGGCTATTATGCAGCAATGGAAATTGTCAAGAAATGTGTCCCATCAGGTTTCCTTCACTGAACAAAAACGGACACATATAGACACACTAAATGTGTTTGGAGGCCTGCGTGAAGCAGGGAGAATTTCCACGCAGCGGAACTATGAGGAAATGTGTAACTTGGTTTATTTTTCTATGAGGCAAACACGTATTTTATTTTTGTGCTATCGCTTTATAGTTCATAGAAACACATTAAGTAATTGGCTGATCTTACAATCCACGTAGGTGAACAGTTACTCGGCCTTTTCTGCACCTTTTCCCCAGTTTTGCAACAACCTGGAGTACAGGACTCCAGCTGCTCTGCTCTGGGTTTGTTTTAGAACACAAATAAAATTTGCTCTGAAAAAGAAAATGCTGAAATGCCACTTCATGGCGTGAACCCACTGGGCCCAGAGCGCCATCGTTGAGATATTACATAAACCTCTATCAACGCACCCGCTGCTTAATTTCGCATTAACTTCTTGGTGTGATAATGATGTCCAACAACAAGACAGACATTAGTCGATAAGCCTCGCCCTGCGAGTGAAGGGGCCTTCAGGCCCACCGCGGACAAACAGCAGCAGTGAATAGATTGGCCTTATTTTGGTTGTTCAGGGGGTTGCATGCTCTCTCCTCACTCATTTGTTTCCAATTGAAGACAGAAATCCTGACTGGCGTGTAGCTGGCCGGGGGACGTGATTAATGATGGTAGTGGATAAGGGTTAACACACTGGACTCAAAGCTCTGTTGACTGGGATCCTCGTGCGCACAATGCCAAAGTACTATAGCCTGTGTGCCTCCAGAGAGAGGGGATCCTTTTGTCATCTCCTCCAAAAGCTCCCCTCCACACACACACACACCCACCCCCATCCCATCCCATCCCATATATTACACCCACCGAGGGCTCACTGCTCGTCCCTGGCTGTGTCCATAGTTTAATGGTTTCCCTTACTCCTGAAGGCATTGTATCATTCTGAAAAGCGTCTTCTTCTATTCAAAAGTTGGTGGTCACCTCAATGGCCATACCAACGCCCATATGGGAACGGCCATTGAGGCACTGCTCTGTCCTGGAGGAAAAAAGGGAGGGGGTTTTGGAGCTGTGTAGAGAGTTTGGGTTTTAAATACATTTCATAGGCTCTGAAAAGAGGCTCGGCACATCTTGTCACATTTCTCTTAACCTTTTGAGAACACACGCCATTGTTGGGACACGATAAGTACGCGGAGCTTTCCCCTTAGCCAGCCTGTTTTTCCCACAATATTTTATCAACAGTTTAACCACGAAGCCGGTTTGATGTTGTTCCTTTTTCACGCAGCCAGTCGTCTGTAAAGTGGCAAACATTAGGAAGAAATTGCAATAATTCCTCCAATTTTGAAACAAATTAACCATGATGGGTGCTTTAATTAATGATGTACCACCGAGGTCTGTACAATTAGCGCTAGGCTGATACAACACGAGCCCCGATAATTAATTATTCAATTAAGCTTAAGTGAATGTATATTTCCATTAATTTCGCTCTCCTTTTTTTTTAGATGGCTGCCAACAACAGGACGGTGCAGGAGAAAACACAAACTCCATCAGCTCGAACGGGGAGGATTCAGAGGAGACACAGATGCGTCTGCAGCTCAAGAGGAAACTACAGAGAAATCGCACATCCTTCACACAGGAGCAAATCGAAGCACTGGAAAAAGGTCAAATATGCAGTGGATAATTTGTATAATTAGTTTTAAACATCCAGACTACTGTTTTATCCATAACACAATACAAACATTTTGGTTATTGTAAGCAAATTCAAAGAAAACGCAAACTGCGTGAGGGACTACATTTCTTTATTACACTGCGTTAAATAAGAAGCCTAATTAAAAACCTAATGTTTTGGATCCAGGGCGAAAGCCACGCAATTGTTTCACTAATAGCTCTGAATAAAATTAACTGCCCTTGACCTAATCTTATGTTTATTTGCTAACACTTATACCTGTGTGATTAATCCCACTGCAGAATTTGAAAGAACTCATTATCCAGATGTTTTCGCGCGAGAAAGACTAGCAGCGAAAATCGACCTGCCAGAGGCAAGAATACAAGTGAGTGATCGCAACTTTTATGAGCACGTTTAAAAGAGGTTTTAAACTTGAAGCTAAAATTATGCTTTTCCCATCCTTCATCTGCAGGTATGGTTCTCAAATAGGAGAGCAAAGTGGAGGCGAGAGGAGAAGCTGCGGAATCAGCGCCGGCAGGCCAATAACTCCTCAAGTCACATTCCCATCAGCAGCAGTTTCGGCACCAGCGTCTACCAGGCCATTCCACAGCCCACCACACCGGGTAGGTCAACCTAATCAGAGATATTACTTTGACCATATGCCCAGTAAGGTAAAATAATACTTAAATGTAATTTTTCAACTGAAATTATTAAAAGTGCAGCCTACTTCACACGCGCTGCACAAGCACACACTACTTTGTTACAATTTTTTTAATGCATTAATACTGTGATGGGTTCCATAGGCTCAGTGGGTTAAATATTTACTAAACAGTATCATGCCACAACCTGCGGATTCATATAAAAAGGGCAAAGGAGGCCTCGGTGGCTGTGCGCTCTAGTTCGCATGAAGAAGCGCCGTTGCTTCCCTTTGATGGATGATTGAGCAAAACTTCTCAGCTGACTATCTGAGCAATTACCGAATCAGGCACGAGGGTACACCGGCAGAGCTGAAGCTCGTGAAGTCAATCACCTGAGGCTCTCGCTGTACAGCTATCTGTCCGGGCCCATCAGCCTGTCAAATAAGGCGTCACCTTCCGCACGCACTGCTTAACTCTAATGAGATGACTTCTCTCACCGGAGCTCGGAGTGTGTGAGATTTCTGCGGTTTCAAGCGAGTTTTCATTTTCATTTTCATCCACAGTGTCTTTCACCTCGGGGTCAATGCTGGGTAGACCCGACACCGCACTCACAAACACCTACAGTGCGCTGCCGCCGATGCCCAGCTTCACCATGGCAAACAATCTACCTATGCAAGTAAGTCAAATACTCTGCATACATTACATACGAGTGCTTAAATAAAATGAATTTAAAGCTGGGTTTTTACAGTGACTGGTGTGACTATAAGAGTGGCAAAAAAAGTACAAAATTACATAGGCCTGCATACTGTAACTAAAGGATTCGTGAAATAATTTGATAGTGTTAAAAGCAGACAAACTAGGTTACAGACTACTGAGCTGCAAATTATGGTTGGCTAAGCTAATGTAACATTCTCTCCTCATTTTTAGCCCAGCCAGACCTCCTCTTATTCCTGCATGCTGCCTACCAGTCCGCCTGTGAACGGGCGGAGCTACGAAACATACACGCCCCCTCATATGCAGGCACATATGAACAGCCAATCTATGACCACTTCTGGTACCACCTCAACAGGTAGGCAGAAAATTTCACTTTTTTAACTTTTTATTTTTAAAGCAGCCTGCTTGTGAATTAATAAAGCAAACACTGCACTCTTTGAAATATCTGCCACCTTTCCAGTAATCAGGGGATACTACAGAGTCATGTCTGATTCATGATCTGTCATCCCAAGTTTCCTTTTCCTTTGGTTTAAACGTCTGAGGATCTATATCTCTACATTGCATATCATTTTTCTCTCCGCAGTTGCATGAACGAGGCTCATTTCTTTGCCACTCTGGGCCATCATGTCAACCCCACTACTCCAGCCCATAGTTTAGTTCCACCCCATTAGGATGTTACTGAGAGCCATATATACCAGTTATAGTCATGAAGAGTTAATCATGCATAACCACATTTCCTCTGTGCTAAATTGCTAATTAATTTGATTCATTTGCTGTTGTATTCTCTCTGTTTAAATGCCATTGCCAAAGCCTCAATTTATCGAGCTTGCAAGCATTTTACCGAGCCACCACGTGCAGAGCTTTGTAACTCATTGCAGGCCCGTGCTCATCTACCTATTTGCAAGCATTTAAAGCACAATGCTCTGTTAGTTAACTGTCGTACTAACCGTGCATGGTAAACCTGCTCATCTAATTTTAGCATTTAGACCGCTTTTTTAAAAAAAACTTCTTTAAGTTTTTCCAATCTGACATCAATCTTTCTCTCTTTGTCTTCACAGGACTCATCTCTCCTGGAGTGTCTGTCCCAGTCCAAGTCCCAGGAAGCGAGCCTGACATGTCTCAGTACTGGTCAAGACTACAGTAGAGAGAAGAGCTACTTCACCCTGTAACCACCCACTCCACCATCGCCCTCCGGCAGTGCTCCTCACACATACACGGCACAGGAGAGTAAAAAAGGCGAGAGAGGGTTGAAAGGAGGCAACAGACAGAAGAGGAGGAAAAAAAAAAGAGAGAGAAAGGGACTCTGGGAGAGCCTTTGGGACGTCTGGGCTTTGTTTTTCCAGTGGGACAGTGTGCTGTTATGTAGCTCTAGGCACATTCAAACGAGGACTTGGAAGAGTGAACAACGATGGGAAGATCGGGGGGAAAAATGGACCTCTGTAAAGTGCCCGGTGTTAAATTTATATGGAACAAAAACTTCTTATCTGTTTTTTTTTCTATTTCCAACTTCAGTCATTGTTTCCTTTTGTTCTCTGGTGTGTTTGTAAATGGCCATTTGTATGTTAATATGAAAAACCAAGATCAAGTACTGATAGATGGACTGCTAGAAAACCATGTTGGTCTTGCGTTTGTTTGAGAGAGGAGAACCTGAGAGATTCTGCCATGACTATCTTTTAATCTGCTTATATCAAGACTTTCTACCAGCCTTTGCATGGTCTCTGGACGCTGTTGCATATCATTAAAGACGAAAAGCTGGAGGGAAGACTCTTACTGTGTCAAAGAAAAAAAAACACAAAAGAAGCAACAACTATTTATTGGTCTTATTCCTTGCGAATGGATATTTTAGCAGAGGAAACTCAAACTCGATCCACCCACTGAGGCTGTGGTCTTGGCCCCTCTGACGTGAGCCTGCATTTGCTGGCTTATTAGACACGGATCACTATGAACAGCTTCAAGTGTGCAAAGAAGGTGCGACACGCAACCCAACTCGGACCCTTTTGCTTCGGTGGTTGGATTGACACTTGATTACCACGAAGAACGTTAAATGTGGAAAACACAGGTGCAAAAAAAATCCTGTAGTCTGTAAATGGTAGACTGCATCTTCGATATAATCCAGTTTGTTTATGTCAAAATGTAAAGTACTTGTCTTCCCTAGAAATCTTCCAGAAAGATTTCACCAATAAAAGTTGATTTCATTTATCCCCCTCCTCCCCCCAGAATATTCTATAAATGTTCCATGCATCATAAAATACATTTTCTTTAGGGTCAGGTACAATTTGTCTCTTAGGTATAGTTGTATTATAGTGTCCTATGGTCAAAAAAAAAATGTGCAACTAGAAATATTTAATTCCTATAATTATGATTAAACATTGCTTGACAGAGTTTTAAACTTAAGTGTTTGGCAGTTGTTTACAAGTACATATCAGATTTAATCATTGTTGATTGTAAAACAGACCAAAGCCTTTGTATTTCATCTAGTACACAATGTTTTTTTAAAAAAAGATATTAGTCTTGTGTTGCAAAATTTTGTAAACACGTTCTGTTCAACTATATTGGCTTCGAGTTCGTAAGACTGCAGTCGAAACCCGCAGTCCTTATTTATAATTGAAGACCATGGGAGGGTTTTTCTAGCATCATCTGTCATGCTCTTTTGAGTTTTGCATTTTTATTTCAGTGTGTACGTAGAACATGGACACATACTGGGTTTACGTCTGAGCATTGCTTCTGAGATAAAACGTCTACACGCTGTCTCTTAAATATTTCAATTTAATTTTATTTAAAATGGAGCTTTCTAAATGTATTTTGTGAAAACTATAAAAAACATTTTGTACAGTAAAATTGTGTCTTAAAGAAAGCCTTTTTGCCTGGTTAATGCTGTGTCAGCTTTTACTGAGCAAGGAGAAACTCTTTTTTTTTTTTTTTTTTTTGCATCGTTGCTGCAAAAGTGAACAACTCTAACACGGGCCGGTGCCAGTGCGACAGCTTGTGGTGAACGTAACACGTTCGATTCCTTCCCAACAAAGGCGTCCAAAATAAAAAAAACACATTCCTGATGTGTGGGGCCGAACCAAGTCGACACAGACCACACAATGAGAAAGGTCAAGCAATTCAACGTCCCTTGCTCTTGTTTTAGTAGAGTTACGATGGTATGAAAAAAGAAAAAAAATATACAGGACCGATGACGGGACCAATGAGGAAAAGGAGGGAGCAGAGAAGAGAAAGGGGTAAAAAAAAGTCATGAAATAAAGCAGTCAGTGCCTAGAGCGAGGTGGAGGAGCGATTGTGTGGCAGAGTGAGTTATTTTGCTTCACTTGCTGCCTCAGCAGGGGGTGGGGGGGTTGTGTGTGTATGTGTATGGATTTAAAGGGGTATGGAGGGGGGGAGAGAGAGAGAGCGAGAGTAACCATCTAAAAGGAAAAGTTATCCATGAGAGAGTGAGGTCAGGTAAGATTCACTCAGCATGTACCAGCTCCGAACATCCTGCTAAATTGATCAACTTCATGTAGATGTCTCACTCGATATTAAATAGTTCAGTTAGAAGTTTGCAGGATTGGAGGTTAATCAGATTTTTAAGATGATTTTTTTTTCTTGGACTAAAGCAATTTCTCTGTTCATTTAATCCAGTTTATCACACAAATGGAGGAAGTCTGTTTCGGGAGCACGAGGAGGGGAAGACGGAGCAGACTCGATGACTGCGGCAAGACAGAAGAGGAACATTAATAATTACAGAGAGATTCAAAATGCAAGAAAGACTGCAATTAGTGGAAGTCTAAATAATACACAGCTTCGGGATGAAATGGTTTAAATGTAATTCTTGTGCGGAACAAAGTCAGGCAATGGAAGTTTCTGTAAAAGTTGCAGAGAACTTTTTACTTTTTGATATGATTTTTAATGAGACACAATAATTCTGACCTGGAGAAATCTGAATCTGAATTCCCACAGCAAGTGAACAAACGCTGACGCCCGGCTACTTAGCGTCTCAGCGTGAGCGTGTGCTTGAAGCAAACATGAAGTCATGCCTCCCTCATCATTATGAATACAAATAAAGAGTAGTATAAGCTTTGAGTAAGATGCTTTTGACAAGTATGGCTTAAATGGTTCTCATCTCTAAAGCAACACACAACAACATATTTGAAGGGGAATCTGCTTTTACACTAAACTTCTCAGAGAAATAGTTAATGCAGAAAAAAGATATTGAATGTGGTTAAGAAAACACCCTACTTTTTACATCTTTAATAGTATGTGATAGATTACAATCCATAAAACCCAAGTAAAAGCAGCTGTATTCAAATAGTTGGTTTTAGCTAAGAAACATATAGATGTGCAATCTCCACACTACTTCAGGAAGAGCTGCATAATATACCTACAGCATCGAATGTTCATCTTATGTGACAGTAATACGGATTTCATTCACATAACAGTCATTTACAGACTGGTAACATACCTAGTAATAAAGGTGCATTGCATTTTGAGCAACAAAACTGAATCAATCAGAAGAAAGGTGACAAAACAGGCAAACACTTGGCTAATCATAAGCCGGTGCATTGTGGGAGGGCGCTGACAAATCCGCTCTATAATAAGTCATATGCTAAATTCTAAATTTGATTCAAAACATTTTATAAATTAAAAAAAAATCAGCTGAAGTGCTTCTGAACCGAGTACACAGAATGTGAATCAGCATGCTGACATAGAAACTTGGGCTAAATAACGTAAAACAAAAAAAACAACAAACTTGCATGCTAGTAAAACGGGAACATAAACACGTGTCAAAATGAGTCTGCTCTATTTTAATCTACCTTTAATTTGTACCCTGAATATGTCATCAGCAACAATAACTTTAAAAAAATGTGTTTTTATCTTTCATTCACATGCGTAAGTGACCTGCGTACGAAAACTCGTTCTTGCTCATAAAATACACCTGATACAAGAGCGCTCCACTCATGTATGAATCCGTCAGGTAACACTACCCTCTCCCGACAAGTGTTGCAGATGGTTACCAATACTGCCAGTTTTTACGAGCAAAAATATTCAAACTGGCATCAACAGCAGACTGAGGAAAATAAAAATGAAACATTTAATTTTTCATGTTGATTTTTTCTTCTCCTCTGTTTCTCCATGTCACCGTTTGACCTAATTTGTTCTTTTGGGCTTGTCATGGCAAAGCAGCTCATCCAGCAAACATGCCTGATGAGGTGTGAAGCCTGCACCCAAATTCAGCTCTCCTACCCTCTGCCCACATTCCTGCTCTGCTCTGCTTACTGGAGGTATACATCACTCACAGGCACAGTCTCAGGGTCAGATGGAGGCATCCCTATCCAAACCTGAAACCAGTCAGGCAAACCAGAGATCAGTCACTCCCAGTCTCACAGTCTATTTTCTCCTCAGAGTTGGCGTTGAACTGCAGTAAAGTAAAAACCGACAATATAGTGTGTGCCATGTTCTGTATATTTATTGTTTATTATTTACTTTTACATAAGAAAATTAGATCAACCTGCAAAATAAACTGTATTTATAGACTTTTGTAAACTGGAGTGAGTCGACAGAGGCCCAGGGATTAGTTAAATTATTCAATATTTACTTCAACTGCCTGTCTGTAAAGAAAGGTTAAAAAAAATAACGGCTGCACTTTGCTTGTAAACATATTCTCTAGAGGCAGAGAAAACAACAAAGAACTTACAAAATGTACCAAACCTGAAAAAAACACCCAGCTTGTATTTTATTTAGGTTAAGTAATCATCACCTTACCAGCCATTTACCTTTACATTACATTTCAAAACAACACAGTGTTTCTATGTTTCTGCATCTTGCAGGAAAAACAGAAAAACGTTTGCTAGCAACAAAAGTGAAATGAGTCCGTAATGACAGCGTGGAATGTGTGAATATCAGCTTTCAGAGTCAGGAAAAAAATAAAACAAAAAGCATGTAGACTAAGTGTAAATAAAAGAAGAGTTGTGAAATATAGGAGGAAATGTGTCGGTTATGAGAAGAGGTACTGTGGATGTTTAGATCTTCACCCCTGGCTGTGTCAGTTGGCAGGTGGTAATGGCTGGCAGGGTTATAGATGTTGACATTACGTGGGCAAGGGAACAACCTGGTCGCCGCAGTGAAGAGGACAACGCCGCGGCATTCCAGGTGTTGGTTGCCTATAGCGACTGTGTGGGAGCTCTAGAAGTCCAGGTGTTTGTTGCCGGAAGTGCCGGAGCCACAGGCTGACGCCACCGCGGCTGCTCCTGCCAGCTCCCCCCTGCTCACACGACTCACTGTCTCAGACAAGTCTGGAGGCAAATGCAGTCTCTGCACAAATCAGAGAGAGAGAAGAGGGACAGAGGGAGGGGGCAGAGCGTCAGTGCAAGAAGAAAGCTCTGCAGTGGATCAGCATACAGTAGATGTTACTCTTCAGTGATGCTTATTCGCAGAGAGCCATGTTGGGTTGAAATTGCATTAGATGCTTCAGCACTCCCCTCAGCACTGGCAGCATGGAGTAAACCTGCCAGCGTGTTGCTAAATGCTTCAGAGAGCTTTAGGTCTGTTACACCTCACAGGGAATATATGTATGTGTGTGTGTGTGTGTGGTGTGTGTGTGTGTGTTAGGGTTGTTTTGGAGAATTGTGAATGGGACACAAAATCACTCATTTATGAAGTAAGAGAAAGTGTGTGTTCCAACACAACTGTGCCCGGAAAATCTGGATGGATGCATTTGCATCAGTGCAGCAGTGCTGACTGCTTTACTGTAACACAAATTGTGCTCAGTCTACAAGAAAGTCTTTTACAGTAAAGCTTATCTACAGAGCAGCCCTGTGCCAACTCAAAGCACAAAGACGCTAAGAGGTTAATGAGGGCCACTCGTGTAAACCCCCCAAACACCAACATGCTTACTGCTATAAAGCTTAAGAGGGGTTTCACTGCCTGCTCTGCTTTCTCCAGATCTGCCATGAAAGGCTGTCGGCGGCCCTCCATGAACAAAGTCTTGAAGAGCTGTTGAGAGCGTGAGAGGAGGTGAAGTATCTCCGGAGTCAAGTGTGGCCCTGACAATGGTGCTGAGTGGCTTGTTGCCCAAGTGTCTATTGAGGAAGTTAAATCAGAATACTGCCATTCTGGGTACAAGAGAAGTTAAACCCTATAATTTCCCCCTGAAAGAATCTGCCATGACATCTGAAACCCACTGGCCAAAGCCTGCACTCCCACACCTAGCCCACCTCAACCCTGTAAACCTTCCCTGCCCGCCACGTCCTTCCCCTCCAGACATCCAGCATTAGCAGAGCCCTTCCACTCCCACAGATACTTATCTTTTTCCTAATGACTAGGTGTTTGGGTACGGGGTTTAAGAGCGTCATTACTTAGAGATAATCAGAACAACGCCGCACTCTTTACCCCTTCAGGGTAGATGACTTCCAGCCTTTATTTTTTTAGAGTGCTGAAACACCTGAGTGTGTTTTAAATGACTGATCTTCGTGTCTGATATGAAGCCTTCTCTTCCTGCTCCTGTGGCCGACAGCTCAAGTTGTTGAGCATATTGCCTTTGTGTGTGTTTCAGAAAACCATTTGTGAGGCAAACAGAGGAAAGCAGAGTAGTCTTCCTGCAGATTATCTAAGGGAAGGTGAGAACTGAGACACTTGTGAAGGACCTGTAATTTAATGTGAGATGGTAAAGCTAAGGTTACATAGAGGCAAGGAAAATGATTCCCAGTGAAGAACAAACATGAGGCACATAATAAGCATGAACTAAGACTGGTGAGACCAGAAGATGAAGTTGTTAGAAAAACATGAATCTGTTCAACTTCTCTCTGCATGTTAGTCTTTCTTTCACTCCTTTTTTTTTTTCCACACACATGCACGCACGCACACACAAAC